TTGTGGTCGAAGGCTGGATCGGTCGAAGTCTGCCCAGCCCTGGACCCCCACATATGTTCGCAACTGTGAGCCTCTTGCCACTCCGCTGAAAGCGGCCGACGAAGCTTTCCCCACAACCTGACGAAAGTATGGCTGAGGACGATCAACCTAGTGTCCCCGTCAGGCCTGGGCAGGCGAACAAGCTCGCTGTAGAGACTGTCCGTGGGCCAGGCCAGCCAACTCTCAAACTGCATGAACATGTCAGCCAGGCACTGCAAGGCCTGGTCGGACAGCACATCGAGCGTGCGTGGCGCGATCCTCGTCTGGCCCGAGGCCGTCTTCAATGGAAAGCTCCTGCTGGCTCCTCGCACCTGCGATGCAGACAAATGCGGAAGCAAAGGCCACTGGGCGTGATCAACAGGCAGCGGCAGAGGGCATGCACCGTGGTACGTCCAAACGTCCCTCCACTTGTCGAGCGTACGGTCAGCCATCTGGTATGGCTGAGCGTCAGGGGAGTAGGCGAGCACCTCCTGTCGAGCCCGAACTTTGGAGGACGGATGCGCTCGATATGCCCCTCCCAAGAAGGCTTCCTTGGCCCACTGCCGCCAAGCCCTCTCCGACGCTCTTTGCGCCGTTCTCAGATGATAAACAGCTCTGGCAATGATGTCATTGGCTACGTCCTCAAAGTCAGCCTCGACCAAGCCAGTCAGCCCTCGCCGAAAGAAACCCGCGAAGGCCGCGTCCAGGACACACAGCACCTGCACTGACCGAGCCACACGTCCATAAAAGGCAGCCACTTCATTGAAGGCCACGACGACCTTGGTGCACTGCAGCGGCGTGATGGCGCAAACGGCGGCACACAGCTTGAGGCGCTCGATGTACCTCACCAGCCGCTTCTTCTCGGCCACAAGGTGCTGGGCCCAGCGCTTCGCCGTGGCCCAGGCCAGCACAGCCGGCTCCTTGTAGGTACGCCTGCGCGGCGGCTGCCATGACAGGTGCTGCCACTTGAACTGCGGCGACCCCTCGCGTCCGATGTACTGCATGGCCTTGGCGCCTACGCAGTCGTAGCGCCCTGCCAGCTCGTAGTCCACCCCTCGCAGCACAGAGTCCCAGAGCGAGCTCAGGTCGTCGACACTGCTGACCCGTTGGAACTCTGTCTGGAGCCTATGCCACGGGTAGGGATGCCTGGCACAGCCAACTGGCGGCACCACCGCAAAAGGTCGCGGCTCCACAGGGACACGGCACCACGTGGGGCGATCCTCGCCCATGAGCTGCAGCTCCACAGGGAAATGCGGCGGCGGCACGACCGTGGAGTCATACTGGACCTCTGGCTTGCCCTTGATGCGAGACGCTAAGTTGGCACAGACGACAAAATAGTCTATGGTGCTCTTGCCCTCGTCGGTGATGCAGGCGTGCTGGTCGGGCTCATAGTGGATGGCTGCCATGGTCTCGACCCAGTTGCGAACATTGAGCGCATCGATGTCGGCGTTCCAGTCACCGCCTAGGATCCAGTCGAGGCCCCGTGAGTTCCATGCTGCCACTCTCTGGGCCAAGGCCCACAACACCTCAATGTTTTCGCCCGAGATGCCAATGGACGTGACAAGATAAACACTGGCGACTATGATACCGCCAGCAACTCCCCAGTTAATCTGTGCACAGACTGCTCGTCCTGGATAGATAATGTGCCCGTCATCAGGTGGAGCCGTGACCATAATGTACGTCGGCACGAGTACAGCGACCCCTCCGAAGTTGGACGTAGCTGTGTCACCCGTGGGGGGCGACGGGGCCCATAGCCCATGCCATCCAGCGTCCAAGGCCTTGGCCTGAAACTCGCCGAGCCTAGGTTCGGTAATCCTCAACTCCTGAGCCAGCAAGATAGTTCCCCGATAAGTAGCCAAAAAATCGAAGAGAGGGCCGTAGCTCGTAGCGTTCACCGTTGTGATGAGGCCTTTGAGCTGCGGCTGAGATTCTGCATGCATTGGCTGCACCTTCACCTCCGTGCGCTCTGGCGGCAAAGGCGAAGTTGGTGCAGCGCGTTCTTGACATGCTTTCTCGAAGCGTAATCGGGAAGAAGGTGGGGACGAAGATGGCGCATCCTGAAATGCGCCTTCACACAGATCTGCTTCCATATCAGGCTCGACGTCCTGAAACAAATCATAATCATCATCCAAGGTAGTACGCACTGGGCCGCTCTGGCCCGAGGACGCCCCTAGCAGTCGGTACCCTCTGCCGCCTGGATTCTCCGAGGGCAAGGGCGGTGAGCGGTGCGTGCCGTCCGAAGACGGTCGGTACCCTCTGCCGCCGCTCCCCGAAGGTGAGGTCGGTGAGCAGTGCGTGCTGCCATGGGCCAACCGCGTAGGCGTAGGCGGAGTAGCCCTCTGTGATGCCGTAGACGCCAAAGACACAGCTGCAGGCGCAACCGACGTAGGCGGAGCCGCAGTCAAGGTCGGGGCTGCCCCCCACCCCGAGGAACGGGCCAGTGGGGGAGATAATGTAGGCGCCATAGTCCCAGCCGAGGTCCTGGTACTGGAAGCCGTTGTAGGCAGGGAGGTGTGACGATGAGGGGCTGAATCCCTCTCCCCCCTGCCCGAGATGCTCGCCGCTGTCGAAGATGACGGAGGCGCACTCTCAACATGTTGCGCTGATGTAGAGCTAGCCATGGTGACAAAGAGCCAAAGCAACAGCATATCAGGCCGAGCACGTTCACGCAGACGTCTTGGCCTTCTTGGCCACAGTGTCCAGGTAGCTATGCTGAAGACGCTTGAACTTCTCGCGCACGATGTCGGGGGTGTCGCTCTCTTCGACGTGGACCCCTGCTGCACCCAACGTCTCACGGCAATCCTGCTCAGACATCTCGATGTCAGGTGGCTCAGCACTAGCTTCAGCACCATCAGCATGAGCAGGTACAGGTTCTGGAGGCTTGGCCTGGGGCAAGCTCTGCAGCTTACTGACCGTGTCAGCCATAGCCTGCAGCTCCTTGACCATGTCGGCGCCGAGACCGAGGCCTGTTGCGACCTTGCCCAGCTGCAGGAGGAGGAGGAGGAGGAGGAGGAGGAGGAGGAGGAGGAGGAGGAGGAGGAGGAGGAGAGGAGGCGAGGAGGGGGAGGACGAGCAGGAGGAGAAACAATCCGCACGCACATGAAATGCAAGATGTCACTTCTGGAGCTTCTGCGCCAGCTCCTGCTGGATCCCCCGCACCCACGAGCAGTACCACTCCGGCAGCTGTGCCTGGAGCGACTCGAGCTTGCGTGGGTCACCCCTTAGGCTGCTCATCTGAGTTCTGGCATCCGCCCAGGTCGGCGCAAAGACGAAGGGAGGCCTCTTGTGGCTCCAGCTTGCATCGGCGTGGTAGCCGTATGCCATCTGGACCTCGGTCTCGTTACCCACGATGACTGGGATGGCACCCGCGATCGTGGCCTCGTACACTCTGAAACATTCGTTGTTCCTGGCGCCGGGCAGATGGCAGAAGAAGAAACAACGGCATATTACTATAAACTTCCGGAGGTCTGTGCCGACTTCTAGGATCGGCGCTGGACCCCCCTTCCTGGCGCGGCGCTGGAGGCGCCGCCGAGGAGCTCCAGCGCTGGTCCAGACCAGCCGCGCGGAGCTGCGGAAGCTTCTGTTCATACGCCGTGCTCTCTCCTTCGAGCTTGGGCGCAAAGACGGCCCTCCTGTACACCTCGAACATCCCGGGCCCGCTCCGCTGCCCCACGAACGCCTCCCCGGAGTCGAGCTGGTCCGCCTCCGAGAAGCTGCGGCCGGGCCCCAGCAGCTCCCGCACCATCGCGGCCCGGTCGCCCCAGGGCGTGGCGTGCATCCCGCCGACGGCGGGGAGCAGGCGCGGCGCGCCTGCCTCGCGGCCCAGGGTGTATCGCAGCATCTTTGACGCATCGTTGGTTCACCCTGGTCCTCCTCTCCTTCCTCCTCCTCCTCCTCCTCCTCCTCCTCCTCCTCCTCCTCCTCCTCTCCTCCTCCTCCTCCTCCTCCTCCGCCTCCTCCTCCTCCTCCTCCTCCGCCTCCCCTTCCTCCTCCTCCGCCTCCTCCTCCTCCCTCCTCCTCCTCCTCCTCCTCCTCCTCCTCCTCCTCCTCCTCCTCCTCCTCCTCCTCTCCTCCTCCTCCTCCTCCTCCCCCCCCCTTCCCCCCCCCCCCCCCCTCGCAGCCCCTCCTCTCGTCGTGGGGGAGAAGCATCTCCGTATCCGCGACCTCGTGGGCTGAGCCCCTGGGCCGCGGATCCTCGCGGATTCCGGGGCGCCTCCTGTCGCGGATGCCCCGCTCGCAACGTCTCCAGGAGACCGCGCATCCGCGGCATCGCGCCCCAGAGTCCAGACCGCGAGGGCGCGGATGCGGATACGTTCGCCGCTCGTGATCTCTCCTGCTCGCAGGGTCGCCCCGCCTCCGCGCCGCGCGAGACGCGCGGCTAGGACGTCAGAGCCCCGTAAACCGGGACACGGTAGACCAAGACATCCAACATCCCTCGAAACAATTCATTCCCAGACGGCGGCACGAACAAAAAACTGCAATGCAATGCTCCCGGAACTAACCCGGACAAAAGCCCTACAAGGCTGCAGAACCCCCCCTGAACCCGGACAAAAACGCGAACCCAAATCCTGCAGTGCAGCAACCAAAAACTCCACTGGACGACCAAATCGGAATGTATGCAGGAAAGGGTGACGTTTCCCCGACTTGCCAATGTCCTGGTTACAGTGGGGGCCCGACCACAAGAAACCCTCCACAAGAAACCCGACCCTGAGATCCCAGGACGTCCATCGATTCTTGGCGTGGGAGCGTCACGCTTCCCACGGCAAACCACCGAAACCCAAGAAACCCACGGCACCCTGGAGGCGAGCACGGTGCTCCTTGGCATGGGCCCCCGCTGTAGTAGATGGGGTCGGAGGGCCGCGTCGCATCGCACGCATGAGGGCGAGGCATCGGCGATGCATCGTCGACGTCGGCGATGCGTCGCCTGGTCTCCGAGGGGCCCGAGGAACGCTCGCGCCCCCGCCCCCCGGACGCAGGGCAGCCTCTCCAAGCCCTGGGGCCGCGGAGCGCGCGAGACGTGCGCCTCCTCCTCGCGGCGCGTCCTGCGGGCGGCGCGGCCCTCCTGCGCCCCGTGCGCGCCTGGCGCCCTCGGTGAGGGGCCTGCTTTCCACCAGCCACCACCAGAAGTGGGAGGGGGAGGGGGCCCTCCTCCTCCCCCTCCCCCTCCTCCTCCTCCTCCTCCTCCTCCTCTCCTCCTCCTCCTCCTCCTCCTCCTCCTCCTCCTCCTCTCCTCCTCTCCTCCTCCTCCTCCTCCTCCTCCTCCTTCCCCCCTCCAACTTATGGTGGTGGTGGTGGTGGTGGTGGTGGTGTGGTGGTGGTGGTGGTGGTGGTGGTGGTGGTGGTGGTGGTGGTGGTGGTGGTGGTGGTGGTGGAAAACAAGCCCATCACTCAGTCACTCGGGGGCAGCGCTGCGAGGGGGAGTGGACGTGGCGCGCCGCTCCGCTCCGCGGGGGGGCTGGGAGAAGCTCGGGACGCCGACGCTCGGGGGACCGGGGCGAGGCGTGCGCGTCGCGCCGCAGCGCGGTGGGCCGGAGCGGGCGGCGCGACGTGGCAGCAGGCTCAGGGGGGGGGGGGGGGGCGGCATATCGACCCCGCGTCGGCCATGCATCGCCGATGGGGGCCCGGCAGCCCGCCCCGCCCAAGGACGTTCGGACATGCCATCGGGGTCCCATCGCCGATCTGTCGGCGATGTGCAGTGGAGGCCAGTCCACAAGAGACCTGCCACAAGAGACCCATCCCAGGAGACCCCAGGACGTCCATGGATTTCTGGTATGGGAACGCCACGCCGTCTACAGCAAAACCACCGAAGCAAAAGAAACCCAAGACACCCTGGAGGCAAGCAGGTTGCTTCTTGGCAGGGGTCTCCACCGTATCGCCGATTCCGTGCCGATGTTCCCCCCCCCCTCCGCTGGGCCAGTTCCCCCCCCCCTTCACTTCTCCCCCCGATGCGCGTGGCAGGCGTGCCGTTTCTGGCTGCGCGGCAGGCGTGCCCCTTCCTGCTCCCCGGGACGAATGCCCAGGCGTAACTCCGCCCGTGCGGGCCGCCCCCCGCGTTCCTCCTCGCCGCCGCGCACGAGTCGCCCCCGAGGTCGAGCCCCGCGTTGTAGCCCAGCGGCACGACGCGCGTCCGCGGCGCGGTGGGCAGCTCCGGCCAGAACTGGTACTGCCGCAGCACCAGCCCGTCGGGGGGCATGACCCTCGGGTATATCCGCCCAGGCCGCACCTGCGGCGCGGTCTACGTGCGCGTGAGCGGAGGTCGCCCAAGCGGGGGTCGGGGGATCGCGCCGCATCGCGGAATGTACAGTCATGGTGCTGCGGCGAGGGCGTTGGAAGCCGTTGGAACTCAAATCCTGGATTTGGGCCATCGACGTTGCCGCTGCCCTCGTGAGATAAGGACTCGTCCAGGGTCTGAAGCCTTCTGCGCACATTCCTTGACCAACGCCCACGCCGTACCATCAGCACCGCTGCCTGGGGAACGACGGGGCTCTTCGGGCCACGGCGAGCCTCGGCCACGAACGGGCTCTCTAGAGGCCTCCCAGATGGGGTCGAAGTAGATGGGGTCGGAGGATCGCACCGCATCGCCGATGCATCGCCGATGCATCACCACTGCATCGCCAATGCATCGCCGATGCATCACCACTGCTCGCCAATGCATCGCCGATGCACCGGCGACGTCGCCGATGCATTGGCGACGTCGGCGTGGAGAAAACTGGCCTCCACATAGAGCTGCATCCTCGATGCATCGGCGATGCGGCGCGATCCACCGACCCCATCTGCTCCGATCCCATCCGGGGAGGCCCAGGCTCTCGAACCTGGACACAGGACCTCAGGGACGGCCTTCAAACCAGAGCCCTCCCTGAGCCCAAGGCGGTCCGTGTTCCAGCGTCTTGGCTGCACCGGCGATGTGTCGGCGGGGCGCCGGGAGAGAAGGGGAAACCAGGCTCTGGGTCGCGCCGCGTCGCCGGTGTGCATCGGCGATGCGGCGCGGTCCGCCGACCAGGGCCCCGCTGGGGGGACCTGGAGTGAGGTCGGGCCTGGCCCCCTACAGGGGGATTTTGGGCGACAAATTCAAACACACTCCGAAAATGCTCCCAAAATGGTCAAAATTAGTAATAAAAATAGCCCCCTGACTATTTTTTGGCTATCTTTGAAAAGTCCTCATGTGGCCGACTCAGACCTGGAGTCAGGCTTCCGCGCGGTGCTGCGGGGATGCCATCGGCCACCATCGACAGGGCGACGACGCCCCCCCCCAGCGCTCCGAGGGGAGGTCGGGGTCCGGAGCGGCACTGGACACCACTCCGCACCCGCGGAGCGCCCGAGCAGCTCTGGGGAGGAGGCGGCGGGGGCTCTCCGACGAGCTCCGCTCTTTCTTCTGTGCTTGCCCCCCCGGGAATGCCCTCGGCGCCACGCCTTGGGGAGCGATGCCTCCTCGCCTCGTCCGCGTGCCCGCCCCAGGCGCTGCGGCGGGCCTGCGCGGCGGCGCATCTGGATGTACGTCGGCTTGTACTTCCCGCCCTCGTCGGAGAGGTGGAGCAGCACCCGGGGCTTTTTCTCGCTCCGCTGGAGCGGCGAGACGAGGTCCGTCAGCAGCGTGTGCCGTGGAAAGCCGCCCACGATGAAGCCGACGGGGCTATCCCCGCTCCGGTGGAGAAGCTCCAGGATGTGCTCCGCCGTGCCGGGGATATCACAGATCACCACGTCGCCGGCATCCCGCAGCAGCTCCCTGATGAATGTCCGCTCCCACAGAGACGTGTACGACATCCCACCCCACTTTCGCAGATACGCCAGCACGGGGCGTCCGTGTTTCATTTCCTCGTAGCACTGGCTGCCTTCAAGCCCCTCTCGAGCTGCTAAGGGCATGGGCTTTACCGGGTAGGAGCCTGACACATTCAGCTTGACACCATTGGCACCAGTCCAGACTGTATACACATAGGCAAGAACACAAACTCTGGCATGGGCCATCTCGAATGGCCCCGTCGATGAGATCCGCTACTGGTGCATGGGGCGGTAAAGTCAGGCGGCGCGAAGCATGGACTCAGATACAGTGACGACGTGTCCTTCCATAGCTTGAGCCTAAATGGCTACGGGGGCAAAGAGGAGAGGGGGCGGATACACCAGCACGATGAGGATAGGGATGGGAGACGCAATAGCAAAGAAGCACGATGGGAGGCTGAGCAGGAGGTGGAAATGGACGAGAAAGGGCAACAACATGATCTTGATTATGACGACGAAGGTTGGGATGATACAAATGCTGATTATAACGGTAATGATGAGGAGTATGGAGTTTGAACAAGGGCAGGGGAACAAAAGGGAAACGAAACGTAACACGATCATGAATAGTATAGCGATGATGAGGCGACCAATGATGAGGATGATGCGCGACTGAGGTGGAGGATGTCATGATGGAGGATGGGTACAGGGGGTGTGAGGTGGGAGAAAGGTGGCATGGGGAGGACGGGGGAGGAGGGTGATGCGGAGGAGAAGGGAGAGGGGGGTATGCGAGGGAAAAGGGGGAACATTAGGACGAGGGGGAACAGGGGAGCAGAACGAGGAGGAAGAGGCGACGGAGCGTATCGAGGAGGATGAAGAGGATGAGGATGAGGAGGAGGAGGAGCAGAAGGAGGAAGAGGATGAGGAGGAGAAGGAGGAGGATGAGGAGGAGGTGAGCAAGATTTTTGCAGAATCTTCAGAACTCACGTTGTGAGCTGAAGAGGAGGCAAGGAGGATAAGGATGAGGAAGAAGATAACGGAAGAGGCAGAATGCAGAAACGCGAGGATGAGAAAGGCGATGATGACAAGACGCTTGAGGAAGACGAAGAGGGGCACTGGCTGGAGGAGGAAGACTACCTGCTGGTGTTTGATAGGGATCCATTTTTTTCGGGAGGGCGACCAAGATAACGAGTATGTATGATGATGGCGACGACGAGCAGAGGATAATGGGATGGGTGAGGTGCAATGGGAGCATGTCCATCACACGTAGTGGGAGCAACGCCATGGGAAGGCATAAGCAACTCAGTCTGGTGAGGATGAAGAGCAAGAGACCTCCTCCTCCTTTCCCCCTCATTACCACCTCCCATCCAGGACCCCAAAAACTCATACCCCACGGAACCCCGTCAGGAGGAAGAAGACGAGGAGGAGGAGGAGGAAGACTTTCTCCTCCTCCTCCTCCTCCTCATCCTCCTCCTGCTTCTCCATTCCTTTTCCCCACGCCCTGTCGCACCCCGCGGCCATTTTTAGGGCGGGCCGGGCGTTTCGCCTGAGACTTCCTTACCATTTACCACCCTGAAGCTTCAAAATGGGCAACAGCTTCACATATGGAGGGCGAGTGGTTTTCAAAATGTGGCTCTCGCCTTAGCGCCGCGCACACTCGTATTAAACTTAGCAAGAATTTCACGGATTGTGGGCGGTCTCTTTTCAAAGTGTGGCTCTCGCCTTAGCGCTGCGCACATTCGTTTAAAACATTTGCAAAACTTGCACTGGCTCCCGCGATCAACAAACTAGAAATGCTTTTTGGGGGAAGGGTTATGGATTCAGCGCGTGCAACAGTTTCGTTGATTCGCTGTGTTGATTTCCCAAGGGTAACGTTCCCGCGCGATCCAGGATCGTCAACACGCAACAGTCAGGTTGATCCGTTGCGTTGGAGTCCCGAGAACAATGCTCTGGCATGCTTCAGGCTCTTCAAACGGTTGTCTTCCGACGAGGGAGTTCCCTCAATGGGAATGAACCGATGTAGGGGCCTATGAAGAGGGAGCTTGGAGGGAGGGTGTATTCCAACATCGTTGATGGCTCTTGGGTTCACACTGGTCCTCCTCCTCCTCCTCCTCCTCCTCCTTCTCTTTCCCCACCTGTCCTTCTCCTCCTCCTGTTCTCCTCCTCCTCCTCATCCTCCTCGTCATCCTCCTCCAACTCCTCCCCTCCTCCTCCTCCTCCTCCTCCTCCTCCTCCTCCTCCTCCTTCCCCCTCCTCCTCCTCCTCCTCCTCCTCCTCCTTGTCCTCCTCCAGTCCTGTTCCTTATGTATTAACAACTTCTCCCTGTCGCACCCCGAGGCTGGTCAAAAGGGCGGGTCGGGCGGTTCGCCTGAGATTTCATCACCGTTTATCACCCTGGAGCTTCAACATGGGCAACAGCTTCACGTATGGAAGGCGGGTCGTCTTCAACATATGGCTCTCGCCTTAGCGCCGCGCACATTCATTCTAAACATTTGCAACGCTTCACGGGTTGAGGGCGGTTCCTTTTCAACATGTGGCTCCCGCCTTAGCGCTGCGCACATTCGCTGTACAAAATCTTAGGGATTCGCAGAAGTCCCATAGTCAAATCACCAGACATGGTGTGTTGGAAAGGTTCGGGATTATGAGGATTATGAGAGTACAACAGTTACGTTGATTCGCGTTGAAGTCCCAGGAATGACGTCCTGGCACGATTCAAGATCGTGCCAGAACGCAGCAGTCAGGTTGATCCATGGCGCTGGAGTCCCGAAAACTATGTGTTGGCAAGCATCAGGCCCCACAAATGGTTGTCCTCCAACGAGGCAGCTCCCTCAGTGAAACTGAACCGTTGTAGGGGCCTATGAAGAGGGAGCTACGAGGGAGGGTTGATTCCAACATCGTTGATGGCCCTTGGGTTTACACTGGTCCTCATCCCCCTCCTCCTCCCTCCTCCCCCTCCTCCTCCCTCCTCCTCCTCCTCCTCCTCCTCCTCCTCCTCCTCCTCCTCCTCCTCCTCCTCCTCCTCCTCCTCCTCCTCCCCCTCCCCCTGCCCTCCCCTGCGGCGGCGGCGACAGCGGCGAGGGCGCCGCTCCTCGCCCACCGTCAGCCGCTGCTCGGGCTCGCTGCGCATCAGGCCGCCCAGCAGCTGCAGCAGCCCCTTCGACAGCAGGGTGGTGAGCAGCGCGCCCCGAAGCGACCTCGTCAGGAGGGGTCGCAGAAGGACTTCCAGATTCGGCCTGACCTACCTATACGACCACCCTGCGGGTGATAAGGAGGTGAGGGGGGAGAGGGGGAACCAACGTCTCACTCAATCGATCTCGCTATCGACCTCACAATCGATCTCACATTCGATCTCACTATCGATATTACTATCGATCTCGCTATCGACATCACTATCGATCTCACAATCAATCTCACAATCGATCTCACATTCGGTCTCACATTCGGTCTCACTGTCGATCTCACGATCGATCTCACAATCGATCTCACAGTCGATCTCACATTCGGTTTCACATTCGGTCTCACTATCCATCTCACTATCGAGCTCACAATCGAGCTCACTATCGATCTCACATTCGGTTTCACATTCGGTCTCACTATCGATCTCACAATCGATCTCATGTTCGATCTCACAGTCGATCTCACTATCGATATCACATTTGGTCCGGCCGCGCTTCAGCCACAGGGACACCGACGGGACACCAGCGGGACACCGGCAGGACACCGCGTGCCACCGGCCGCCCGGAAAAGACACATTTGGTCCGGCCGCGCCTCAGCCACAGGGACACCGACGGGACACCAGCGGGACACCGGCGGGACACCGCGCGCCACCGGCCGCCCGGAAGAGACACATTTGGTCGGGCCACGCCTCAGCCACAGGAGACTTTCCTCTCGCCCGCCCACGCAGCTTCGCCTCGCCCGCGCGCACGGCACGCACGAACACGAAACCGAAATCGATTTCCCGGTAGGGGGGCTCTCCGTTCCGCTTCGATCTCACCCCCTCACCTCCGACGGAACGATAAATAAGGAGCGAAGCCTTTTTTTGTTCAAAGTGAGTCATCTAGGAAGTCCGAAGGAACACCAGGGGGTCTCACCGCCAAAAAGGCAGCGGAATGCGTGCAAACCAAAGGAGCGATCAAGCCCCTTTTGAGAAGTAAGTGTTCCTCATTCGAGTCGAATCCTGTACGGCAGCTTCGCGTCGTGTCGACACTGGAGTTGGTTCCTAATACCGCGGGGATCCTTCAAACTTGAACGATCGACCCTGTCAAAAAGGCCGGATCGTTCAAGGATGGGCCGATTCTGGGCCACAGAGGCAGCGTTCAACCTTCAACGCCCGCGCTGCGGTCGCCGCCGGTCGACACGACGCGAACCTGCCGTACGAGCACTGGTGCGCCCCCCTTGGAAGCGCACGTCCGAGGCGAACATATACCACCCTCCCGATGCATCGGGAGGGTGGTATATGTGGTGTATATATGCCTACTATACACATATGGGCGATTTTGGAAACCCTGAACCAATAAACGTTTTCATTTCTTGGGGGGGCGTTCTCTTACCTCTGCCACCTTCCGCCACCCTTCCGCCGGCCTCCACCAGCGGAGGCGGCCTCCTGTTACTCCCGGCGACCTGCCACCGCCCTTCCGCCGCCCTCCGCGGCGGAAAGGATGACAACTCCTTCGATCCTCGAAGGCACAGCCATTTCTGAAACGACTCGTATATATATATATATATATACACACACGTGCGTTTATGTTTATATGTATGTTCAAATGTATGTATATGTGTATATGTATATATGAATATGTACGGGTAGGTATGTCGGCCTGTCTGTCTGTCTGCCTGCCTGCCTGTCTGTCTGTCTGTCTGTCTGTCTGTCTGTCTGTCTGTCTGTCTGCCCGTAAGTATGTATGTATGTGTATACATGTATGTCTGTTCGCCGTGGCGTATACATCCTGGCAAAGAAAGATACGCGGTGCGTACACTCTGTATACTGTGACTGGATGTAAGTATACATCCTACCTCCACATATACCCCAGGTGCGTGTACCACAGTGTGTCCCCCCTGCCATCTGCCAATGTTGGCAGTGGTGACCGCCGAGCCCAATTCCTTGGGCCAACTTTGGTTGGAGGCTGGCGGCGGGGTGGGCAGGGCTGAATCTTCCAAGTATGTTTGTTGTCAGGGGCGTTGTAGCACACTTGTTTCGTCGGCGGCGAGGCGGCGAACTCCGCTCCAGCGAGAAGCTAGTAGGGGCACTAACTAGCGAATTGGCCGGCGGGCAAAGAGAGGGGGGGGAGGGGACGGATGGGGCGTTGTAGCACACACATCTTACAGTATATCGTTGCCGAACCGGTATGGCCAGAAAACGCCCGTGACCAGAACTTCGGGTCAGTGTGTCGCAGAGGCGGCCCTGGAGACTCACCTTGCCCTGCAAGCGGATACGGCGTCGCTCCGCTTCGCGGGGCGGGGGGCTGGGAAAGATTTGGGCAGTTGATGCCCCTGGACTGGGACATGCTTAGCATGCCGCGCCGAAGCGTGGTGGGCCAGAACTGGCGGCGCGACATGCTAAGAAAAAGCTCCCGACCGTATGAGAGGGGCACTTGGGACGGGCGGGCACATCGCAGCATGATTGACGCATCTTGGGCCTGCTCTCCTCCTCCTCCTCCTCCTCCTCCTCAGCCTCCTCCTCCTCCTCCTCCTTCTCTTCCTCCCCCTCATTATCCTCCTTCTCCTCCTCCTCCTCCTCCTTAATGACCCTCCTCCAACTCACCCTCCTACTCCTCGTCCTCCTCTTTTCTTGGGCAGGCTGCTGGGTCTGTGAGGCCCGAAGCGTCAGACCGCCTCCTCCTCCTCCTTCTACCCGTTCTTCTCCTGGTCAGGCCTCCGCTGCGCAAAGGGGGGGGGCCCTGGGCTGTGCTCGGAGGAGGGTCCGCCGAGGAGTGCGGCAGGCCCTGCTCTACGTTTTCTTGTTTGTGCGTCTCGCTCAGGCCTCCTGGACTCCTGGAGGCGTCTCGTCGCCACGGCTGTATCCGCCTCGAGAGTCTCGTCAGGATGGACGGCCTCGGGGACCGATTTTGAGCGGATGTGGACTGGGCGGGAGAGCCTAACTGGCCCTCCTTCGATCGTCAGCTCTCGAGGAGTGGAATGGGGAGGGGGAAATAGGAGGCTTTGAGCAGGTGCGGGACGGTTCTGGGATGGGGGATGGCTCGTCAGCTCGTGGGGCCGTCGCCGTCGCCGTCGCAGTCGCTGTCGCCGTCGCCGTCGCGGCCGTCGCCGTCGCCGTACCCGTCGTCGTCGTCGTCGCCGTCGCCGTCGCCGTCGCCGTCGCCGTCGCCGTCGCCGTCGCCGTCGCCGTCGCCGTCGACGTCGCCGTCGCCGTCGCCGTCGCCGTCGCCGTGGTCGTCGTCGTCGACGTCGCCGTCGCCGTCGCCGTCGCCGTCGCCGTGGTCGTCGTCGTCGCCGTCGTCGCCGTCGTCGCCGCCGCCGACGCCGTGCTGTCGTCATCATCGTCGTCGTCGTCGTCGTCCTCGTCGTTGTCGCCATCGTCGTCGGGACCATTGTCGTCGTCGTCGTCGTCGCCGTCGTCGTCGTCTTCCGGCGTCGTCGTCGCTGCCCGTCGGCGCCGGCTTTGGCGCTGGCGCCAAGGGGGGGGGCCCCGCCCTGTGCCGAACCCCCCTCCCCGCTACTCAGGAGGTGGCCCCCCTTTTTCGAGTCAACGTCGCCGCCGCCGCCGCTGCCGTCAACGTCGCCGTGCCCGTCGCCGTCGCCGTCGCCGTCGCCGACGCCGACGCCGTCGCCGTTGCCGTCGCCGGCGCTGTCGCCGTCGCCGTCGCCGTCGCCGTCGCCTTCGCCGTAGCCCCCGTCGTCGTCATCGTCGTCGTTGTCCTCGTCGTGAGCGTTGTCGTCGTTGTCGTCGTCGTCGTCGCCGTCGTCGTCAGAGTCGTGGTCATCGTCGTCGTCGTCGTCATCTTAAGCTTCTTCATCATCATCAGCAGCAGCAGCAGCATCAGCATCAGCATCATCAAGAACACCATCATCATCACCACCATCATCATAATCATCACCAACATGCTCACCACCATCAGTATACTCATTATCATCAGCAGCAGCAACATCCTCATGCTCATGAATTCAGCATTATCATCATCAACATCATTGTCAGCACCGTCACCCTCATCGTTCTCATGATCATCATCGTCATCATCATGGTGATGATAATGATGATGATGATGATGATGATGATGATCATCATCATCATCATCATCATCATCATCATCATCATCGTCAGCAGCATCGTCTTCCCCAGCAGCATAATCACCATCATCACCACCACCATCAGCATCATCATCAACAACATCACCATCAGCTGCATCATCATCAACATCATTAGCATCATCATCATCATCATCATCATCATCATCATCATCATCATCTTCATCATCATCGTCATGATCATCACCATCATCATCATCATCATCATCATCATCATCAGCATCCTCATCATTATGATCATCATCACCAGCAGAAGCACAATCTTCATCATCACCGCCACCACCATCACCATCATCATCAACACCATCACCATCACCTGCATCATCATCAACATCATCATCACCATCACCATCATCATCGTCATCAGCATCGTCATCGCCATCATCGTCATCATCATCTGCATCACCAACATTATCATCATCATCACCATCATCGTCTTCATGGTCATCGTCATCGTCATCACCACCATCATCACCAATATCATCATCATCATCATCATCATGATCATGATGGTCATCATCATCATCAACATCAACATCATCATCATCATCATCATCATCAACATCAACATCATCATCATCATCATCATCATCATCATCATCATCATCATCTTCATCAGCATCATCATCATCATAATCATCATCATCATCATCATCATCATCATCATCATCATCATCGTCGTTGCCCGACGGCGCCTCCGTCGTCGTCGTCGTCTTCGCCGTCGTCGCTGCCCGACGGCGACGGCGCCAGCGCCGGCGCTCGCCATCGTCGGTTGCAGGTGGGGGGGCCCTCCTCGTCGTCGCCGCCCAACGGCCCCGGCGCCGGCGCTCACCGTCGGTTGCAAGGGGAGGGCCCCTTCCCGGTTTGAACGCCCCGCACCCCTTTGCAACTCAGAGAGGGGGGGCTCCCTGGTTCAACGAACCCCACCTCCCTGCAACTCGAAGGAGGGGAGGGAGCCCGGTTCGAACCCCCCCTCTCTTGGATTGAGAGGGGGACCGAGGGCCCTCTCGGTTGGAACCCCCCTCTCCCCTTGGGACAGGCAGAGGGGGAGGGAGCCTCCCCGCACCCCCCCTTGCATCTCAAGGGGGGAGGCCCCCCCCCCAGGTTCGACCCCCTCCCCCATCCCAGCGTCCCCAGAATGCGCGATCTCCTAGATGCGGAACGAAGCTCCGTTTAAGCCCCCAAAGCGCCTGTGTAGGAAGACCCCCAGAGGAACAACCACGGAAGAAACTACGGAACAGGGAGCAGCGCAGACTGCTCATTGCTTCAGCGTCTTTCCTGTAAGACGCCCAGGGCACCACCGCAACCAGATGTCGTCTGGCCCTCCGAGGTCGTTGTGGTCTCCTGCGGTCTCCGCGGACGCCTCCGAAGGCCCCCCCCGCAGAGGTCGCCAGAGGCTTCTGGTGTCCCAGGGGCTCCAAAGTCTAGACCCACGTCCAAACATCTCGATTCTCGATCGTAATCGTGGTCGCGCTGGAGGCTGGAGGATGAGGAGGGCGTTGAACTTTGGACTCAAGCGAATTTACTTACATATCCCTCCCGCCCCCCACACCCCCGCTCCTCCTCGCGCCGCCTCTTCAACCAGCGCTGGGCCGAAGACGCGTGCAAGTGAGTCCCGACTTACATATTCGAATTTCTTTTCGGGCCTCGCCACTTCCCTCCCCTCCATGCAAGTAAACTTGCCGGGCTCGAAAGAGAACGGCCCCAAGGACGGGCCGAGGCGGCGAAGGTCCCGTTTGAGCTACAGGCCTACCACAAAACTCCTCAAGCAGTGCTTGCGCTTACGGTTTCTTACGTCTGTTCTACGAAACTGTAACTGACCGCCGGTCTGGCGGCGATGTTGTCGCCGTCGCCGCCTCGTCGCCGCCCGTCGTCTGGGCCTGAACGCTGGTTTGCTGGCTATGTTGTCGCCGTCGCCGCATCGTCACCGCGTAAATTCCACAACGTTGGTTGCATAACACAGACTGCACCAAACATATTGCACAATGTAGGTTGCACCACATATGTTGCACAACAGATATTGCACCACATAGACTGCACAGCATACATTGCTCATCTTAGACTGCCTAACGTAGATAGGACCGCATTGACTGCACCACGTAGATCGCACAACAAATATTGCACCTCGTAGATTGCACAACATATGTTGCACATCATACGCTCTCCTTTCTAAACTGATACTCGACCTCCCCCCCCCCGGATTGTCGACCCTTTTTTTTCGTAGTGCAATATGCAAATGATTCTGCCCCATCGTCCATCCCTGTGAACTCATACCGTCGCAGCCAGGCCAGTATCGACCCCCCCGCCACGCACTGCAACAAATGCTATGCGCGCGCGCTCGTTTATCAACAAGTCATAAGTGTTCAAGAATCCCTTGCAACATATGGGACGAAGTGCGCACGCGCGCGTCGTCGCGCGCGCATCCAATTCGGCTGCCCAACAAACATATAAACACACAAGATTTCTGAAACGGGAGGTCCCCAAAAGAAACTTGCGCGCGCCCTTGCGATTTTTTTTTTTTTTTTTTTTTTTTTTTTTTTTTTTTTTTTTTTTTAAAAAAAAAAAAAAAAAAAAAAAACCATAGGTGTGCAACATCGTCATACCATGCTACCAAGCGGACTTCGCGCGGGCGCATGCCGAAATCGTTCGAACACCCTTGTGCGCGCGCTGGAGTGGCACGATCCGTGTCCAATAATACCACGCGGGCCACTCTCGCGCGTCGGCCGCGCGCGCATGCCGAACTCCTTCCAAAACCTTCCTCACTGCCCTGTCGTCGCAGTCAACATCGTCACCAACATCGCTACTATCATCATCGTGTCTACCGTCGTCGACGTTGCCATGACACCGCGCCCGCCCAGGTCGACGACTCGCACTGAAGTGCCTGCTGGGGTGTGCCGAGCGGTCAGCGCCGCCTCGTTCGCGTCGGTCGCGCCAAACTAGCTGGCCGCTGCGCGCGCGTGCTTGGGTTGGCGCGGCCGCAGAGATGCACCAGCCAACGCCAAGCATGCAACGCAATTGCCACCGCATGGGCTTTGCAAACCAAGCTGTGGGTGGGGGGGGATGTTTGCAAGAGCATGGGATGGGTCAACTCGTTTGGTAAAACCAATCGCACAACGTAGATTACACCACGTAGATTGCACCAACTAGGTTGCACCGCATAAGTTGCACCATATAGATTACACCACGTCGGGTGCACCGCATACATTGCGCCCCACAAAATTCGCACCGCATAGATTGTACCACATTGGCTGCAGCACACATCATACACACTTTGTGTTCCACAACATGATTGCACGACACATGGTGCACCACATATATTGCACCACCTCTTTAGATTGCTTCACGCATATGACACAGCAAATATTGCTGGAAGATTCGGGACCGCGCAATCGAACGTACTTTTTCCGTAGAACAAAGGAATGATCCAACTCAAAGAGTCCGCCTGCCCCCTGGTGGGGCCACCAGGTTGTAGGACCAGGGTTTCCTGTTCCCTGCGTCAGTTCCAGCTTCCAGTTTCCATTGTTACAATTCTGTTTTTTGTTGCCTACTGTTCCTTGTTGTAGACCGCACGAAGGGGGGGAGCCGAAAGAAAACCGCCCTGGTTAGCACCTCCCGGGAGGGGTCTCAACATGTCTGGGGGGTCGAAACTCACACCCCTCACGCAGATCGGCGGGGTCAGGGTCAAAAAACGCATGGGATTTGCCAAACTTCTGAAAATTCGGCGGCACCCCTCCCGCAGATCGGCGGGGTCAGGGTCCAAAAACGCAAAGGCTTTGCTACATGTCTTGAAATTCGGCGGCACCCCTCAAGCAGATCGGCGGGGTCAGGGTCGAAAAACCAATGGGATTTGCCACATGTCTAAAAATTCGGTGGCGCCTCTCACGCAGATCGGCGGGGTCAGGGTCCAAAAACATATAGGATTTGCAGCATTTCTGAAATTCGGCGGCCCCCCTCACGTAGATCGCCGGGGTCAAAATCGAAAAACCAATGGGATTTGCCACATTTCTAAAATCCGGTGGCACCCCTCACGCATATCGGCGGGGTCAGGGTCCCAAAAAAACAATGGGATTTGCCACATTTCTTGAAAATCTGGCGGCACCCCTCACGCAGATCGGCGGGGTCAAGGTCCAAAAAAACGCATGGGATTTGCCACATGTCTTGAACATCCGGCGGCACCCCTCACGCAGATCGGCGGGGTCAGGGTCCAAAAACACAAGGGATGTGTCACATGTCTGAAAATTCGGTGAGAGCCCTCTTGCAAATCGGTGGGGTCAGGGTCGGAAAACATACGGGATTTGCCACATGCCTAAAAATTAGGTGGCCCCCCTCACGCAGATCGGCGGAATCAGGGTCCAAAAACACATGGGATTTGCAACATTTCTGAAAATTCGGTGACAGCCCTCTTGCAGATCGGTGGGGTCAGGGTCGAACAACATACGGGATGTGCCACATGTCTTGAAATTCGGTGGCCCCCCTCACGCAGATCGGCGGAGTCAGGGTACAAAAACACATGGGATTTGCCACATTTCTGACATTCGGTGGCACTCCTCATGCAGATCGGCGGGGTCAGGGTCGAAAAACAAACGTGATTTGCCACGTGTCTTGAAATTCGGTGGCACCCCTCACGCAGATCGGTAGGGTCAGGGTCAAAAATCTCATGGGATTTGCAACATTTTAATACTTCGTAGAAAAACTTGATGCACAGCATACGCGAGCAAGCTCGAAACACAAAACCGAATTCAATAATATCATCAGAATTTCAATTTGTCTTGCCGATTACTCATCGTCCTCGCGTGAAGTCCCGACGCTGCTTCACGGCGGCGCCAAGGCCTCATGATTTCGCTCTAGCATTGCTCAATATCCGAGAGAGGGGGCCGGCGGCAGGGGGCGAAGCCCTTACTGAAAATACTACATATCCTGTTCAAAATGACAAACACTCGGCCAATGTATTATGTCAAGATGGTCTCAACTGGAAGCGTTTTAAGAACATTTCGTGCAAACTCCAAAAAGATTGTCATACAATACGTTGGTGGGACTATAAGCAGCCGGGGCGCCTCGCCGCTGCTTGAGCCGTCCAGCCGCCGCCCCTCGATTTCGCCCCTGAGCCGAAGGCCGGCGCTCGAGGAATTTGTCGGCGCCGAAGCGGCGCGCGTACTCGAAGTTGTTCGACTCCCCCTCGCCGCAGGGGCGGGCGAAGACTCCGGCGCGCGCGGGGCAGAGGGGGTGGGGGGCAGAAGCAGGAGCATGGGCATCCAGGAGGGAGGAGGGAGGAGGAGGAAGAGGAGGAGGAGGCAATAGGAGGAGGAAGATGAGGGGAAGAAGGGGAGGAGGGGGACGAGGAGGAGGAGGAGGACGGGACGGAGGAGGAGGAGGACGAGAAGGAGGAGGGGGAGGAGGAGGAGGAGGAGGAGGTGGAGGAGGAGGACGGGGAGGAGGAGGGGAAGGGGGGGGCGGAGGGCTTCTCGGCGGTGTCCGAGGCCATCTGCGCTTCGCGACTTGGCGCCCCGCGATGTGAGCGGCCCTATCCGCGCCCAACGCAGGGCCACGCTGGGGAAGGGCAGCTCCTGGTTGAGGCCGCGACGCGCGAAGCGCCACGATCTCCCCGCCCCTCCCTTCGCGCCTCTGGGGGCCGTCAAAGAACGGCCTCGGATGGCACAAGCAGGTGCTCGGGGAGGGGCCCCAACCCCCGACGTCATGCTTTTGTCCTGGCGCGACCCCCGAAGGTCTGGACCCCTGCTTCCCCCGGGACCGGGTTTCCATCCCGCATCGTGCTTTGTTGGCCCCGAGGGCTGGCAAGGGCCCCCCAGATGCTGAAAATGTGAGGGGGTCTGGGGGTCCAGGCCTATGGGGGTCCACGCGGGGACCAAGTAGGGGGCCACATGCGAACCCTACCCCTACCCCCCAAGATTTCTGAGGGGGAGGGCGGGGTTCACTTCGTTCGGGAGCTCCCGAGCGAAGTGAACCCCACCCTTCCCCTCAGAAATCGTGGGGGGCAGGGCTAGGGTTCGCATGTGGCCCCCTACCAGGAGCACGGCGCTGGGACAGCGCCCGCTGAGAGGCCCGCGAGACCCCCGGGGTCCCGGCGGGCCTGCCCGCGGCAGGGCGCGGGCCCTGCCACGGCGCTCGGAGGCCTGGGCCCTCGAGGCCTGGCTCACAGCACGTCGCCGCGCCGCTCGTGCTCGTCGCGCCCGAGGTGGACGACGCCGACACCACGGCAACGCCACGGCAAGCCCCGCGCCCCGCGCCCCAGGCAGACGACGCCGGCACCGCGGCAAACCCACGGTGAGAAGCCCAGCGCCTCCGAGGCGGGGCTTGCCCTGGTGCCCGCGGCGCCCTCCCCAAGACGGCAGGCCGCGCGCCAGAGCAAGCGGCGCGGCGACATATCGGGTCCAGCACAAGGCTTGCGGGGGTAACCCGGACATGCTCGCGTGCCGAAAAGAACGCAGGGCCGGTGGTTTCTTGGCCAGTCTGGGCCTCCGGGGGCCCTCACCGAGCCCAGGAGCAACTGGTAGTGTCTCTCAGGCTGAGAAGCCGGCCCTGCAGGGAAAAGGGTCGCGACTTCCAGGGGGGCCCCGCACTGGAAAAGTCAGGACGTCGCACGTCGGGAAAGTGACGTGGGCAACGAACCCGCTGACGTAGCTGGCTTCCCAGACCCCCGGCGTCATGATCTTTTCATGACGCGACCCCCAGCGGTCTGGACCCATTCCCGGGGACCGGTTTTTCATCCTGACTCGTTTTTGACGGTCCCGAGGCTCGGTGAGGGCCCCAGCGGCAGAAAATGTCGCGTTTTTGTTCGCAGCGCGAGGGGGTATGAGTTTCTCGGGGCCCCGTCAGCAAGGGCAACTCCGCACCAGGGCGCTGGCGCGCTCCGCTCCCAAGAGCGAGCTGCCGCCGTGGATCCGAGCAGTCTAACCACAATCTCCGCCTGCTCCCGCTCGGACTGCGAAATTAGAAGAAGAAGAAGAAGAAGAAGAAGAAGAAGAGAAAACGCCATAAACATAAACTGTTGGCGCTCCGCGCGGATTTCTGGGATCCGCGCTGGGCCCCCCTCCCTGGCGCGCGGAACGCGCCAGGGGCGGCGCCGGAGACGCCGCTGGGGGGGCCCCAGCGCGGATCCAGGAAATCCGCGCGGAGCGCCAAAAGTTTCTGTTTATGGCGTTCTCTTCTTCTCGAAGTCCGGGCCCGTTTGCAGTGTCCTGGCTTCCGGGGCGCTGGTTTTCCTGGCGCCTCCTGGCACCAATGGCGGCACCAGTGCACCAAAGAGTGCGCCCCGCTGCGGAGCCGGAGCGAGCTGCACAATGTAGTGCCTTTCGTAGCCCCCCTTATCGTCTGGCCTCTCAGGGAGCCCAGGGGGACACAAACTAATCGACACACACACACACACACATTCCAAGATTTCCAATGTATGTCTGTCTGTCTCTGTCTCTGTCTCTGTCTCTGTCTCTGTCTCTGTCTCTGTCTCTGTCTCTCTCTCTGTCTCTGTCTCTGTCTGTCTGTATGAACAAATATATGTATCCCGGTTATTCCAAGGCCGCGCAAACGGCGATGTTGGTTACCGGCGATGTTGGGAATCTGATTTGTGTGAGCGGAACAAATTGTAGGAAATCGCGCACAACACTGTCCTGCATTTGAAATGTGCGAATGTATCGAGCGAAAACGACGCAGGGAATTGTAGGAAAGCGCGAACCACCATGTCCTACAATTGGTTTGGCCACGAACCAGTCCCACTTACAATGCCAAAACCTACATCGTCGTTACCTACATTGCCGTTAGTGCGTCTGCGGTTGTTTGGCTTCCCACCCATGCCCAATACTTTCAAACATGTTGATCATATCAGCGTCTGTGTGTTTGTGTGTGTTTTTGTTGTGTTCGCGTGTGTGTGTGTGTGTGTGTGTGTGTGTAATTTCCTTCCTCCAGACCCATCCCGAGGTGAACGGCCCCAGGATACGTTCCGGAAATTCCAGCATGTCTAGTGGCCCTCACTTCTGGGGCCCGCACGGGACACCACGAAGTCTGGGACATCTTGGAACGCGTGCCACACTGGCATGGCCTCTGGCTCCTCTGACTCCCCCTTCCCTCCCTGGCATTCCGCCGATCGATTCCAATCCGCGGCCGCAGAGCTCCCGACCCCCCGCTCTGGGGGTAGCTGTTCCTGAAGGGGCCCTGGGACACACACACACACACACACACACACACACACACACACACACACACACACACATCAATAGACACAAATAACAGGATTCCCAATGTTTTCCTATATTTTCTGGGTGTTCGTCTTCCCCTGCACTTCCCATATGTTCCCGTACTTTCAGGGGAATCGGGGATGAATTGTGTCTGTGTGTTTTTTTCTCTTCTGAGTTCCTCCCGGATCAACTTTTGATGGCCCCGAGGCCCGCCAACCTGCCCTGGAGGCCGAGATCGAGGAAACATATCCTCGGAGGTCTTTTGCCTGCGCTGTGGTCGATGCATTCCTCAAGGATGAAGAACAGTAACAAGCACTTCGAGGCTCCCAAATCGTGGGAACACTCAGCGCGTCAAGTTTCTCTACGCAGCAACTTCCTCCGAGATCTGGGTCGTGCCGCATTGCCGATGCGTTACCGACGCATCCGCGACGACGGAGATGCATCGGCGACGTCGACGTGGAGAAAGTAGGGCTGCTCGTCGAGCCGCATCGGCAAGGCATCGGCGATGCGGCGCGATCCTCCGACCCCATCCGCTTGGCCTCCAGGGCTCCATTCGTCGGCGGCGCGCGCCAGGGGGGCAGTCGGAGAGTCTCGGAAGGCGCCAGCCCTACATACATCTGCGGACGAGGCCCGCGCCTTCCAAGGAGCAGGGAGGCTTCTAAGAAGCCTACCCCCTCACCCTACCCACCCAGCTTCCGACAGCCTTCCGCCGGCGGGGGCGCCCTCGCTTTACTTCCGCGGGCTTCCGCCGCCCTTCCGCCGCCATCCGCCGAGGAAGAGAGGACAACCCCTTCGGTCCTCGAAGGCGAGACCCTTTCTGGAAGACCTCCAAAGGACTCCAAGATTCAATGTGTCGGGTTGCAGAAACCCTCAACCTAAAAATATCGTCATCTCTTGGAGGGCAACGTTTTCCTTCCACCAGCTTCCGCCGGCGGGGGCGGCCTCGTTTTACTTCTCCGCCGCCTTCCGCCGAGGAAGAGATGACAACCCCTCCGACCCTCGAATGCGAGGCCCTTTCTGACAGGCCTCTAGAGGACTCCACTCAATTTGTCGGGTTCCGGAAACCCTCAACCTAAAAATGTCGTCATCTCTTGGAGGGCAACGTTTTACTTCCGCCGGCTTCCGCCTGCTTCCGCCGGCGGGGGCGGCCTCGTTTTGCTTCCGCGGGCTTCCGCCGCCCTTCCGCCGCCTTCCGCCGAGGAAGAGACGACAACCCCTTCGGCTTGCCTGGAACGCCCAAAGTGGACTCCAGGACTCCATGGGCGACGATCAAAAACTGGTCTTGCTTACGCAGGATGGCGGCGCCGCACGCCACATCGGATACGGGGGCGTTTCCGCGCGACCTCACGCGGGCAGCTTAAGCGCCAACGTAGGCACAGACGGTCCCGCTTTTTTCCCAACCACCCTGTGGTTTTGGGTCCTCGTTTTGAAGAGACAGCGCCCCGCGTTCCCCCTCCTCTCCTCTTCTCCTCCTCCTCCTCCTCCTCCTCCTCCTCCTCCGCCTCCTCCTCCTCCTTCTCCTCCTCCTCCTCCTCGTCCTCCTCCTGCTCCCATCCCTGCCTCTGCCCTCCGCACCAATCAACCATGTCAGCACACTCCTCATACGCTTCGTGGCTCCATTGGGAGCTCCACCGAGGGCCCATCTGGCTGCGCTCGGATGGCACCACCACGACAAGTTTGGCACAACCCTCACACGCGTCGTGGCCACATAGGGAGCTCCACCGAGGGCCCCAGTGGCTGCGCTCGCTTGGCACCACCGCGCCCATTTCGGCACACCCATTACATGTTTCGTGGCCCCATAGAGAGCACCACCGAAGGCCCTTCTGGCAACGCTCGCGAAGCACCACCGCGCCCATCTCGGCACACCCGTCACACGTTTCGGGGATCTAGAAGGATCCCCACCGAGGGCCCCATGTGGCTGCGCTCGCATGACACCACCGCACCCATGCCAGCACACCACTCACACACTTGGTGACCCCATAGGGAGCTCCACCGAGGTCCCCAAAGGCTGCGCTCGCATGGCACCACCGCGCCCATTTTGGCACACGGCTTACACGTTTCGTGGCCCCATCGGGAGCTCCACAGGGGGCCCCAGTGGCTGCGCTGGCACGGCACCACCGCACCCATTTGCGGCTCACCCCTCGCACGCTCCGTGGCCACATCGGAAGCTCCACCGAAGGCTCCAGTGGCTGCGCTCGCTTGGCACCACCGCGCCCATTTCGGCATCACCGCGCACGCTTCGTGGCCACACTGGGAGCTCCGACGAAGGCCGCAGCGGCTGCGCTCGCATGGCACCACCGCACCCATCTCGGCATTCCCCTACACGCTTCGTGGCCCTATAGGGAGCTCCACCGAGGGCCCCAGTGGCTGCGCTCGAATGGTACCACCGCGCCCATCTCGGCATACCCCTCAAACGTTTCGTGGACCTAGAAGGATCTCCACCGAGGGCCCCATCTGGCTGCGCTCGCATGGCACCACCGCACCCATGCCGGCACACCACTCACACGCTTGGTGGCTCCATAGGGAGCTCCACCGAGGTCCCCAACGGCTGCGGTCGCATGGCACCCCCGCGCCCATTTTGGCACACGGCTTACACGCTTCGTGGCCCCATAGGGAGCTCCACCGGGGGCCCCAGTGGCTGCGCTCGCATGGCACCACCGCGCCCATTTTGGCACACGGCTCACACGCTTCGTGGCCCCATCGGGAGCTCCACTGGGGGCCCCAGTGGCAGCGCTCGCATGGTACCAGCGCACCCATGTCGGCGCACCCCTCAGACGTGTCGTGGCCACATAGGCAGCTTCACCGACGGCCCTAATGACTGCGCTCGCATGGCACCAACGCGCCCATTTGCTGCTCACCCCTCGCACGCTTCGTGGCCACATCGGGAGCTCCACCCAGGGTTCCAGTGTTGCGCTCGCATGGCACCACCGCGCCCATTTTGGCACATCACTCGCACGTTTCGTGGTCCCATAGAGAGCTCCACCGAGGGCCCTAGTGGCTGCGCTCGCACAGCACCGCCGCGCCCATTTCGGCACACTCTTCACACGCTTCGTGGCCCCATAGAGAGCCCCACCGAATGCCCCAATGGCTGCGTTCGCATGACACAACCGCACCGATGTCGGCACACCCCTCACACGTTTCGTGGCCCCATAGGGATCTTCACCGAAGGCCCCAATGGCTGCGCTCGCATGGTACCACCGCACCCATTTTGGCACACCCTTCACACGCTCGTGCATGCGCCCACCGCGCCCTTTTCGATACATCTCTCACTCGCTTCGCGCCCCATAGGAAGCTCCACCGAAGACGATAGTCACAACTGCGTTAATCACAACTGCATATGGTTGGGCTTTTCGCCAGGGTAACTCTTTGCGTCGCTCAGGGAGGCATGGAGTTTCTCCGCCGCCTACCCCCTCCTCCTGGCCTTCTGCGTGCTCGACCAAGGGTAGTCCGCCAGCGCCAGCGCGTACAGCAGCACCCCCAGGGCGAACGCGTCCGCCAAGAACGCGTCGACGACGGCGGACTGTGGGCAGGGAGCGGCCGTCCCGGCGTTCCTGTGGGCCTACGACGACGCGTTCTCAGAACAAGAGAACACCTTCAGCACAAAAGCAGTGCTCTCAGAACATACACCCGATGTGCTAAAACAGAACTATCTGAGCCAGACATGTTGTAAGGACATCGTGTGCAAACCAATAAAGTTTATCAGACCATTCTTTGGTAGGGCCAATAGGCAGGTCAAGACTGAGCCAGATGAAACCAAATTCAACGAGACTAACTAAACGCCGAATCAGACATGATTGTGCTAGATTCGGTCAATTCCTGACCAAAGATATACCAGCGCCGATGCTGAGTTCAAGCTCCGAACAAACGCACCCTAACCCCCCCCTCCTCCTGCCGCCGCCTTTCCTCCTCGGAGGCGAAAGGCGGAACTGAGGCGGAGTGGCGAGTGCCGGCTCAGCCGCTGGCATCCCGACACGGCAGCAGCAGCAAGTGGCTGTGTTTTTGCTGAGGCCTCCCACGCATCCGGCCGATGCCGCAAGTCGCGTGCGTGGTCGGACTGGGCGGGTGCGGAGCTCCAAGTCACCGTGGCGAGTCTCGGAAACGGCGCGCGAAAGGCCCTCCTGAAGTGCCCCCGCGGACCGCCTCGGTTACACGCAAGAGTGACCTCGGGCAAGAGTGACCTGCTGTGCGCGGCCCCGGGGATGGCCACATCCGAGCGCCCAAGCCAGGAATGCTGGCGAAACCCCTGTGGGCCCGCACCAAAGGACACTCTGGCGAATGAACACTCGTATGCCCAGTCGACGCCCTGGGAGCCGCTCCAAGTCAGCCAGGGACTACCTCCGTCCAAGAGCTGGCCTTGTGCAAAGCTCCAGGCCTTATCGCTCCTGCTGCCCCAGCCAGAGTCCGGCCAAGTGTCCCTGTCGAGTCACGCGTGTGGATTTGTTCTCAAGCATCCTTGTGGTGTTGTATCCTCGCTTCGCAGAAAAATCCCCGCGTCTCCTTCTCTCATGTTCTCCCTCCTTGTTCCTCCTATCCATGCCTCTGCCACCCGCACCAGTCGACCATTTTTGCACACCCTCACACGCTTCGTGGCCACATTTAAAGCTCCATCCAGGGCCCAAATGCCAGCGCTCGCATGCGCCCACCGCGCCCATTTAGGAACACCCTCACACGCTTCGCGGCCCACATGAAGCTCCACCGAAGGCCCAAATGCCAACGCCCATGCGCTTACCGCACCAATTTTGGAGCATCCCCAACACGTTCCGTGGCCCCATAGTGGGCCCCACCGAAGGCCCAAATGCCAGCGCCCACATGCGCCCACCGCGCCCATTTTGGTACACCACTCACACGCGTCGTGGCCCCATAGGGAGCCCCACTGAAGGCTCACATGCCAGCGCTCGCATGCGCCCACCGCACCCACTTTGGAACACCCCTCACACGTTTCGTGGCCCCATAGGAAGCTCCATCGAAGGCCCAAATGCCAGCGCTCGCATGCGCGGGCCCACCGCGCCCACTTTGGCACACCACTCACACGCGTCCTGGCCCCATAGGGAGCCCCACTGAAGGCTCACATGCCAGCGCTCGCATGCGACCGCCGCACCCATTTTGGCACACCCCTCACACGTTTCGTGGCCCCATAACGAGTTCCACCGCAGGTCCAAATGCCAGCGCTCGCATGCACCCACCGCACCAATTTTGGCACCTCCTCACACGATTCGTGGCCCCATAACGGAACCCATCGGAAACCCAACCAAATGCCAGCGCTCGAATGCGCCCACCGCACACATGTAGGTACACACCCCACACGCTTCGTGGCCCCATGAGGAGCTCCATCGCAGGCCCACATGCCAGCGCTCGCATGCGCCCACCGCACCAAGTCTGGCACACCCCGTCACACGTTTCGTGGCCGCATTGGGAGCTCTACCGAATGCCCGCATGCCAACGGTCGCACGCGCCCATGGCGCCCATTTTGTCACACACGCACACACACACCACACGCTTCATGGCCCCATAAGAAGCTCCACCGAAGGCCCCAGTGCCAGCGCTCGCATGCGCCCACCGCGCCCATTTTGGACATTTTGGAATACCCCTCACACGATTCGTGGCCCTACCAAGAGTTCCACCGAATGCGGTGCATACGAAGACGGTGCCCACAAAATCATATGGTTGGGTCCTTCGCAAAGCTAATTCTTCCAGCTTGGCACGCCGGGAATGAGCGAAGAGAAGCGAGGGAAAGGAGAAGAAGCAGGAGGAGGAGGAGGAGGAACGATGAGGATGAGGGGTGAACGAGGATAACCCCGCGCCAGAGGGGGCGCGCGATTTCTCCAAGACCGCCGCGAGCCGCGGGCGCCTGCGGGGGGCGTGGGCGGGGCACCCCAGAGGGCGCGGAATCGGAATCGTCGGCGCCGAAGTCGTCTTTGTTGTCAGCAGCAGTCGAGGGCATCCCGACCGATCCAGGAAAAAAGTACATCACCATCGCCAGGTCAAGGGTCAGGTGTCGACGCGACGGCGCCGACAGGAGCCCGCATCACAGTTCCATGCTGGTCATCAGGAGGTGCCGCCTCTGTCACAGGTTGGCCGCCGTCCACAAGCCACGCGCGCCCCTCAGGTCCAGTAGGAGCGGCGTCGCCAGCAATATGATGAGCGTCGCGCCAGGAAGGGTGCCCAGGTGGGATCAGATCGTCGTCAGAAGGAAATGGCCTTGAGGAGCACGATCGACGTCGGAAGCAGCCGTCGCCTCTGCCACAGGCTGACCGCGGAGCGGCCCCATCTTTGCAGCGGATTGGTCCCCTGCGCCAGGTAGCGAAGAGCGATCACTCGAAAACCATGCCCACGGAAAAACTGCTCGAAGACGCCGTCGCGGGAAGACTCGTCGGAAAAGGCCATGGGAGCACCCGGGATCGGGATCTACTGTGGGATCGGCGGCATGGAAAAATACGCTTCTGCGAGGTGGAGGCCGTCGCGCGGCTGGTCCGCGTCCGTCGCGCGGTCGCTCGGCCCCGGCGCTGCGGTTTCGAGCAGCTCGCCCGGACGTCGTTGATCGTCCTCCGCGCCATCGCGCGCCGCCTCGACCTCTGCGTCCACCGCGCGGTCGGGGAAAGGGGCCTCAGGGAAGTGCTCGGGGTCGCCCATTGCCGCGACTGCAGCGCCAGGACAGAACATGCAGTCATGTGCAGAGTCGCCCACGAGGTCGCCCTCGACGTGGGGCGTCGTTTCGGAGAAATTGTGGAGCAGCAGGGTCTGCGTCGCCTGCGCGCCGCCAAAGCTGGCAAAGTTGGGGTCGGACTCCCCACCCACGCCCGCGATGTCGATCTCGGTCGGGGATGAAAAGAAAAGCTCCTCCGCGGAATGCGGCGGGCCACCAGGAGAGGCATCCACAGGGTCGCACTCGTTGGGGTCGGCCTCGAACTGGCCGCCCCGCGGTGCTTTGCGAGGCGGGCGATTGGCAGCGACGAGCGCGGCCGTCGCGATTTGGCAGGTGCTCCGCGCGCCCCAAGGGCGCCATCCTGCGAGGATCAGGCCCCCAATCTCTGGCCCACAAGTTCCCCCGAGCACGCGTTTTAGCAGTTGCGCGTCGCTGCTCCTGGCGCTCGGGCCAAGCGCGAGCGAGGCGCCGTCGAAGCCGCTCTCGTTCAACGGAGGAATCGGGCCAAACCATCTCCCAATCCTCCCGCGCGGCGGGCCGGCGCGCCATGGCCGGCTCAGCAGCGGCGCCCTGGGGCAGCGCGCTGGAGGACTCGCGGCGAAGGGCGCCCGTCGCCTTATTCACGCACCAGTGGATCTAATATATCAAGTCGCTGCGCGGCGCGTCGGCGCTGTAGGATGGCAGCTGTGGCAGCTCATGCCGCGCGCGAAGAGCAGTGGCGCGGGGGTCGCCCAAGTCCCGCCAGCGTTCCTGCGCCGACCCGGAGCAGGTGAACAACTGGCACGGGTAGTCGGTGAATGCTGGGCGCCCAGAGTAGGTTAGCGCGAAGGCGGGGATCAGTGTGCGAACCGGGCCAAAGGGTCGATCGTGTCTCACTTCGTCTGCGCGGAATGACCCCGCGCCAGCTGGGGGGCGCGCCTTCCGCCCGCGCGCGAGCAATTTCTGGGGATAGTCGAAGAGCCCGACGAGGACCTCGAAGTGGTAGACGTCGTCGCGGAAGAGGAAGACGAGGAGGGGGCCGATGAGCTGGGCGACTGCTTCCGCGGGTCACCAGCGTGGCCAGCGCGCGGCTCAAGAAGATCCGCTTCGTCGTCGATGATCTCGACCCCCGCCAGGGCGGTGTCCTAGCGCCAAGCCTGCGCGGCCATCTTCTGTAAGAGCTTGAACTGTTTCTTGGCGGAGGGCTTCGCCATCGCCTCGGTGGCGGGCGCGGCCTTGCAGGCGTCGAGGAGCTGGTTCGGCGGGGCGCGGTTGGCTCACCATGAAAGGTGGTAGACCATCGTGGTCAAGATCACCAGCTTGACGTTGTCGGGTCCGCCCTGGCGGTCGGCCACCTCCCCGACTGGTCTGCGTCCAGGGCGCGGCGGCCGCCGCTTCGAACAATGGCGAGGCCCCCCGGCGGATCCCCGCAGTCGGGGCGATAGGCGAGGCAATCAGCGCAGGTCTTCGAATCCGACGGTGCAGGTTCGCAGCCCAGCGGCCGTCGCGCTGCGGCTGCTCGTGGGCCATGCCCCAGGTGGACCCCGTCGGGCATCAGTGCGCCCAGGCCGGGGGGGCGAAGGAGACATTGCGGGCGCCGTCAGGGTGCGGCGCGGGTCTTACTAGCCTTGTCCGGAAACCATGTGGCCCACCTCTCCAGGGGCGCGATCGCGATGCAAGGCTGGGCGAGGAACGAGAAGGCCCGCGCGCGAGTCTAGGCGCTTGACGTGCCAGTGGTTCATGATGTTGCTATTGACGATGTGCTGCGCTGATGGCATCGCAGCCTCGGCGCTCAGGGCGTTTGTCGCCGCCGCGCAGGCGGCGGGGATGCTGTCGCCGCGCCGTTGCGGCCGTCCGCCTGGCGTCCCGGCGATGGGGCGCGATCGCCAGGCGCCGGG